CCCAACCCAGGTGCGCGCCAGGGAGGTCGCGGCGGTGCCGCGCAAAGCCCTGCACGGCCGCGAGGTGGCGCCATAGCTGCAGCAGCGCGTGCCGGCCCGGGCCGCTCCAGATAAGAGTGTGCGGAAAGCGCGGCGGGGCTGAGACGCGACCAGGACGCGGGGAGGACGGACCAGCAGGACAGACCGACCGGGGGCCCGGCGGGCGGAGGGCAGCGCAGCGCAGCCACGTCCCCCCCTGGATCCGCCGGCAGCCGGGCCCGGGGCTTCCGACATGCCCCCCAGGTGGGTCCTGAGGCTCGGGACCGGGAGGGACAGGGGACCCGGACAGCCCGGTCCTTACGCGCTGGCCGCCTCGGGCGCATCCTCCGGCGCGGGCGCCCCAACGCGGCTGGCGTTCAGGACTCCGGGCGTCGTCCCCTAGAGGACTCAGGACCGCCGGGCCGCTGCTCAGCGCCGGGTTCACGGCGGGGTCAGCGGCCCGGGGCCGGCTCTGCCCGCACATGGGCCGGAGAGGCGAAGGGAAGGGAAGGGAAGGGGAGCTGGCGGGCGGGGCTGGCAGGGGCGCTGCCCTGGCACAGCTCGGCGCCTGGCAGCGGGGCGGGTGGGGCGCCGGCTAGGAGCTGCCACCGCCACGGGGAGGGAAGCCGGGTCGCGTTGCGGCCGCAGGTAACGGGCCGCGAGGCCCTGTGGGCCAGGCCGGGAACAGGGTGGGCGGGCGGACGAGCCGGCAGGGGACCTCAGGGCTCGGCTCAGGCTCCAGGGCCGCCTGGCTGCCGAAAATTGGGGGCCGAGAGAAAAAGCTGGGAGTCGAGTGCCTGGGGCTGGCGCGCTTCTCCCCGGCCTGTCTGAAGTTGGGAAACTTTTCCCCAAGTTTGGGGCGGCGGAGTTCCCGTTGCAGAGGGGGCCGAAGGGAGCTGGGGCGGGAGGCGCCGGGGCCCGCGAATGCAGAGCTGAGGCCGACGGCCGGGGCCGGGACGCGGGTGGGGCGCAGGCCGGGGTCAGGGCCGCAGCCGGCTGTGCGCCGTGCCCGCCCGGGGCGCTGCCCCCCTCCCTCCCCTGGGAGCTGCGTGGCTCCCCCCTCCCCCCCACCTGCTTCCTGCCTCAGCCTCCTGCCCCGATATAACGCCCTCCCCGCGCCGGGGCCGGCCTTCGTGCTCTGCCCGCCACGGCAGCCTCTGCCTCCGCTCCCCGCGCCGCGGCCGCGCCTCGGCCCCATCTGAGGGCCTGACAGCCCCCGGGCAGGGCGGCGCCACGGCGGGCACCGCGCTCCCCTCCACTGGATCACTTCCCCCAGCTGGGGCAACTTCTCCCGAGGCGGGAGGCGCTTTGTTGTTGTTGGTTTTTTTGTTTTTGTTTTTTTTTTTTTACTCGGCTCCCTTATATCCCAATCGGGCAAACTTCTGGGCCCTGAATGACTTTTCCTGAAGCGGACATTTTCCTCAAATCCGGTAACTGTCTCCGAAGGGGTCACTTCCCCCAAACAGTTTTCTCCTCGGAAGTCCCCAGAGCCCAGCCTGTGTGCCCAGTGGCACCCGGGCCTGGGCCGTGCAGGCCGGCCTGGCCTCGTCTCCAGCAGCCACGCTCGGACGCCTTTCTTCTGGGTCCAGGCCCCCGGCCCAGGCTTGCACACCCGGAGGCCGCCGCCGCCCCGCTGCCAGTGCCCAGGCCGCGGTGTTCGATGCCCCTGCCTGGCTGAGGGCAAGGGGGAAGGGGAAGTTGGGGGGGGGGCGGGGGGGAGAAGCGCCCAGCTGGATAGAGGCGGCCAGGGCTGGGTGAGGCGCTGACCCGGCTGCTGTGTATCCCTGCAGGAGAGTGTGCTGGGCAGACGATGCTGGACACGATGGAGGCGCCGGGCCACTCGAGGCAGCTGCTGCTGCAGCTCAACAACCAGCGCACCAAGGGCTTCTTGTGCGACGTGATCATCGTGGTGCAGAACGCCCTCTTCCGCGCGCACAAGAACGTGCTGGCGGCCAGCAGCGCCTACCTCAAGTCCCTGGTGGTGCATGACAACCTGCTCAACCTGGACCATGACATGGTGAGCCCGGCCGTGTTCCGCCTGGTGCTGGACTTCATCTACACCGGCCGCCTGGCTGATGGCGCAGAGGCGGCGGCGGCCGCGGCCGTGGCTCCGGGGGCCGAGCCGAGCCTGGGCGCCGTGCTGGCCGCCGCCAGCTACCTGCAGATCCCCGACCTCGTGGCGCTGTGCAAGAAGCGCCTCAAGCGCCACGGCAAGTACTGCCACCTGCGGGGCGGCGGCGGCGGCGGCGGCGGCTACGCTCCCTACGGGAGGCCTGGCCGGGGCCTTCGGGCCGCCACGCCCGTCATCCAGGCCTGCTACTCGTCCCCGGCCGGGCCCCCGCCGCCGCCCGCCGGCGAGCCGGCCGCGGGCCCCGAGGCCGCGGTGAACACGCACTGCGCGGAGCTGTACGCCTCGGGCCCCGGCCCGGCCTCCGCACTCTGCGCCCCGGAGCGCCGCTGCTCCCCGCTCTGCGGCCTGGACCTGTCCAAGAAAAGCCCGCCGGGCTCCGCGCCTCCCGAGCGGCCGCCGGGCGAGCGCGAACTGCCCCCGCGCCCAGACAGCCCTCCCAGTGCCGGCCCCGCAGCCTACAAGGAGCCCCCGCTCCCCCTGCCGCCGCTGCCGCCGCTGCCTTTCCAGAAGCTGGAGGAGGCCGTACCGCCTCCGGACCCGTTCCGTGGCGGCGGCGGCGGCGGCAGCCCGGGACCCGAGCCCCCGGGCCGCCCCGACGGGCCCAGCCTCCTCTACCGCTGGATGAAGCACGAGCCAGGCCTGGGCAGTTACGGCGACGAGCTGGGCCGGGAGCGCGGCTCCCCCAGCGAGCGCTGCGAGGAGCGCGGCGGGGACCCGGCCGCCTCGCCCGGGGTGCCCGCTCTAGGCCTGGCGCCGCCGCGCTACCACGGCGGCCTGGACGGGCCAGGCGCGGGCGGCGACGGCGACGACTATAAGAGCAGCAGCGAGGAGACGGGCAGCAGCGAGGACCCCAGCCCGCCCGGCGGCCACCTCGAGGGCTACCCATGCCCGCACCTGGCTTACGGCGAGCCCGAGAGCTTCGGTGACAACCTGTACGTGTGCATCCCGTGCGGCAAGGGCTTCCCCAGCTCGGAGCAGCTGAATGCGCACGTGGAAGCTCACGTGGAGGAGGAGGAGGCGCTGTACGGCAGGGCCGAGGCGGCTGAGGTAGCTGCGGGGGCCGCCGGCTTGGGGCCCCCTTTTGGAGGCAGTGGGGACAAGGTCGCTGGGGCTCCGGGCGGCCTGGGCGAGCTGCTGCGGCCGTACCGCTGCGCGTCGTGCGACAAGAGCTACAAGGACCCGGCCACGCTGCGACAGCACGAGAAGACGCACTGGCTGACCCGACCCTATCCTTGCACCATCTGCGGGAAGAAGTTCACGCAGCGCGGGACCATGACGCGCCACATGCGCAGCCACCTGGGCCTCAAGCCCTTCGCGTGCGACGCGTGCGGCATGCGCTTCACGCGCCAGTACCGCCTCACCGAGCACATGCGCATCCACTCGGGCGAGAAGCCCTACGAGTGCCAGGTGTGCGGCGGCAAGTTCGCCCAGCAACGCAACCTCATCAGCCACATGAAGATGCACGCCGTGGGTGGCGCGGCAGGCGCAGCCGGAGCGCTGGCCGGCCTGGGGGGGTTGCCCGGCGTCCCCGGCCCCGACGGCAAGGGCAAGCTCGACTTCCCCGAGGGTGTCTTTGCTGTGGCCCGCCTCACGGCTGAACAGCTGAGCCTGAAGCAGCAGGACAAGGCAGCGGCGGCCGAGCTGCTGGCGCAGACCACGCACTTCCTGCACGACCCCAAGGTGGCGCTCGAGAGCCTCTACCCGCTGGCCAAGTTCACCGCCGAGCTGGGCCTCAGCCCGGACAAGGCGGCCGAGGTGCTGAGCCAGGGAGCGCACCTGGCCGCCGGACCCGACGGCCGGACCATCGACCGTTTTTCCCCCACCTAGAGCGCCTCTTGCCGGCCCGCCTTCGTCGCCGCCGCGTGGCCCCGGCCCGTGCCCGCCCCCCTCCCCGAGCCCCCCCTCCCCCCGCCGGGGAACGACGGCGGCCGCCGCGAGCAGGCACACCGCGCCCGGACGACTGTAGCAGCCCCGGCAGCGTCGCCGCACGGGCGGCGGCCCCACCTGGCCTCACTGCTTTGTGCCTTAGCCCGGGGGTGGGGGTGAGGGTGAAACCCCGGGACGGGGGTGGGATGGGGGAAGGGAGATTTATATTTTTGATACCAGCTTTGACCAAAGGAGACCCCCGGCCCTTCTCCGCCTCTTCCTGTGGTTCGTTGGCCCCCTCCCCCCCCGGCTCCGTGCTGCTCTTGGAGGGAGGGGTGTCACTGTTGGGGCGCTCCCAGCCCTACCTCCGGCCCTTGCGACCACACCCATTCTCACTGTGAATCTCCCCGCTGGGGTCGGAGCGTCGGGCAGAGTTGGGGAGCGGGGAGGGGACTGAGCCGGCCGGAGGGCCCCCCGCCCCCCGCTCCCGCCCGCCCCGGGACTGATAATGTGAAGTTCCTCATTTTGCACAAGTGGCACTAGCCCCAGGGCCAACCCTTCCCTCCCTCTGGAGTCAGAGGGCTGAGGCAGCCCTGGCCTACCGGTCTCCCACTCCCGCGGTGTCCTCCCCATCCCTCCCTTCCCTGGGGCCCCGGACCATATTTATTGCATGCGCCCCGGGCGGCCCCCCACCCCGAGCCCAGGCTGGGCTGGGCTGGAACGTGGTCTCTTTAGCTCCCTCCTCCCCGTTTGTATATTTCCTACCTTGTACACAGGCTCTTCCAGAGCCGCTTCCATTTTCTATACTCAAAACCAAACAGCAATAAAGCAGTAACCAAGGACCCTGGACCCCGCTACTCTCTTCTGCCCTGTACAAGGAACTGGGTGGGTGGAGGGGCCAGACATGGCTCCCTCATACAAGTGCAGAGAGAGGCTTGGACCTTCTTCCCTCCCCAGCCCCAGAGACAGATGGGCAAAGAGGTCAGGCATGTTCATAACTAAAAATTTATTAAGGAAACAAAACCAGTGCTGCAAATGGGACAGAAAGGAGAGATGGGTCTCCCACCCACCCAGTCATTGGCCTTCATCCAGGGGAGAGGATCTCAAAGAAGAGACTGGGACCCTGTACCCCAAAGAGCCAGTCTTCTGAGGCCCTTGGGGGACTCATACTCCCAAACCACTGGTGGCTCTCCTGTACAGTACCCCCTCCTCCTGGTATAATCTTGGGCCTCAGGGAGGGTAGCCCTTTCTCCCATCCTCTAGGAAGCCTGTACAGTCCAGAAGGGGAGCTCTGGGGGATTCCCTCTCTGGTCCCATCAAAATGGACTCCTGGCTCCTCCTCAAAGTCCTGTCTTCCTCCAAGTTCCTTTCATCCCTGTCCCCGGGTTGGGAGAACCCATTCCCAGTAGGAAGCCCCTCAAGGGAGGCTCTGGACACAGGTGCCAGCTAAAGAGGCAACAAAACCCTCAAAGGCCAAAAGGCCCCTGTGTCAAGTTCTTCTAGGGCAAAGCTAGAAACAGTGTACACTCCAGGCTAGGCGATGCCCCTCTCAGGCACTGGCCCACCCTACCCTCAGGCTGGTCTGCAGGAGCCTGGAAGTTTCTCAGAGTACAAGGGGTCTGAGAAAGAGGGTCAGGGCAGGAAAGCTTTATTAGGTTCCTGGCACAGAGAAGGAAGAGGTACCAGAGGAGGTACCAGAGGAGGACGATTCAGATTGGGAATCCCCATGGCAAGGACCTGAGGTGAAGAATTTGAAGGGATTGGGGAGGTGAGAGGGACCAACTAGAAAGGGAAGGAGGCCAAGGAGATGGTTCAGGAAGGAGAGCGCGAGGAGAGAGGAGCGGGGAACTGAGAAGAGTCTGAAGAAATTTCGTGAAATGGGAACTAGAGCAAAAGGAAGGCCAATGAGGGAGAGGAGAAGGCAAATGCCACCCAGGAAGCAGGAGTCTGAAGCCAGATGTCCCTTTCCTATAGACCCACGACCATCCAAGGGGGAACGAGGGGCAAAGTGTAATGGACCCAGAATGAGAAGGACAGGGAGAAGAGCAGCAGAATGGATGTGTGTTTGGGGTAGGGGGTAGAAAAGGTGGGGCCTAGGGCTGCTGTTCGGGACATGGTGTCCAGAAGCCAACTGGGATCCATCAGGGAATCCAGGCCTCAGACACACCCTGCACATTCTCTTCATGGCATGACCAAAGCCTCTTGGGACACATTCATGAGAAGCACAGGGGTTCTGAAGATCATTTCACCTGCACCTGATGGAAATGCAACCCCCTGCCCTGTCTCCAGCTGAGAAAGTGGCCGAGTCCCTGGGCTGAGGAGGCCTTCCGCGAGCCCTTGAACTAGACAGGGGGAGGGAGAAAGGCTGAGACCGTGGGCGGCCTATCTGGCTCACCCACCTGCTGTCACTGCAGCCAGCCACCGCCCTGCTAAATCTTGGCAGCCCAGGAGGGTCCCAGCAGCTTCCGCTCGACCCTCAGGAGGGGCTCTGTGAGGAGCAGCTCCCCCACAGCACGGCCACAGCGTGGATTGGAAGAGGATGGTTTATTGTCTGGGTGGATTGGTGGCTCAGGCACGTGGGCATCGCCGGTGCTACACTGGGCGCCTGGTGGCCTCTCAGGAATGGTTCCATGACGGGGGGGGGCCCCGGTGCGGCCCCCTCAGCCCACCTGGGCCCACGCGAGGAAGGCCGGGATGTCTCGCACAGGCACGTTCCTCGTCAGTGCCTTCACGCGCAGGTTGCGGTCATCTGTCAAGAGCACCACCTCCCGCAGCAGCCGGATCGGCTCCTCTGTAGACGTAAGAGAGCAGAGGGACTTCACTGAGGGCAGGGGGCAGAGGCACGGGCTGCCTCTCCTCCTTCCGAGGGGAATGTGGCCCAGGAGGGGTCAGCGCCAGCCATTTCTTGGCCCTTCTACAAGTCTTTCCCTCACGCACTCAGCGAGGGTACCCCTCCCCTACTGGCTTAGAGAAGACCGTGCTGGGCCAGCCCGTGCTGGGCCAGGGCTGGCCTTCTGCTTCAGACCCCCGCCTCCAGCCCGGGATGGAGCTGCCTCGTGTCCAGAGACCTGCCCAAGCCACTAAGCCTCCACAGACCCCTCTCCCGGGACGCTGAACTGAGGGGAGTAGAGGAAGCCCCTTTCCTTCTGCTCCTTCGGACTGCATGGCTGGTCCTGGGCTCACAGGTACTCCTCTCTTCCTGCACATCCTCTCCCTCCGAGGCTAGGAGGTCAATGCTTTAGGTATCAAGAGGTAGAAAGCTCAAGATGGAATCCAAAGTGAATCCAGGCTCCCAGAGGTGAGGAGAGGGATTAGTTCAAGGGAGCTCTGAGGAGAGGAGGGCAAGGGTCCCTGGCAGGGCCATGCTAAGGTGGCCCTGAGTGAGAGCCAAATGATTTCCTCTATTACATGAAAGTAAGCGATGTAAATGGTGAGAACCTCTAACAATACAGAAGAGGACAAAGGAAAGGAAAAGCCAAAGCCATCCTCCTAGTTTCTCCCTTTGTGTGTCTCTGTCTTGTTCCCCAGGGCTAGATCTATGCGTGCTTCTGGATTTTTTAATGCACATGTGCAAGTATATATCCTTGTTACATAAGCTTTTTTTCCAACAACATTACAATCATACTAGCCGTATTTACTTTATTCAAATTTTATATATCTTCAAGCTCTTTCTATATCGGCACCAGCAGCCTTTGTCCTTTTTAGATGACCTCTTAGCAAGATGTCTTCCACTACTTCTCCTAATTCCCTAACCTTTTAATGTACTGGGGAGAATTTAAGCCAGGGCCAAGTCCCCACACAAGGGACATCCCCAGCCCTGGTCAGGCAGGCCCACCCCTCAGTCCAGGGCTGGGCATTTCCTGACGGAGGTCCGGCAGACAGTGAGGCACAGGAAATGTCCTGCGGGGCTTACTGTGGGGGGCTGGCGGGGCTGGGCAACTGCAAATGTCCAGGTCTGGACCTGAGCAGTTTCAGGCTTGCCAGCTCCAGGCAGGGAGGCTGAGAACTGGCTGTCAGCCTGGGAGGAGTTTGGGGGAAGAGGGAGGGAGAGGCTCGTGAGGCTGACGCTGGTGGGAGAAGGGGCCAGGCGGAAGGAGAAGGGGTGGGAGGTGAGGGCTGCAGTGGGCAGACGGTGGGCAGATGGGGAGAGGGAGGCCACATGAGCAGAGAGGATGCTCTCAGTCGGCTCCACGGCCTGGGCCTGGCCCCTCAGGCGTGGGTGGTGCCGGGCTGTGCTTTCTGAGCTTCCCAGCTGGCTGCTCGACGCAGCCCCGCCACTCCTGTCCTGGGGCTCAGAACAAGAGAGTCCCAGGCCTTAGGATAGTCGACTAAGGCCCGGCATTGCTGGCAGGGGTCTGCAGGGGTTTCTGTGGATACTTTCAGACATTTTTAACAATAAACATCCTCTGTTTTGACACTGGTAACTTCACTTTGTTAGAAACCAGAGACTGTCATCTTGTCAGGCCCCATCCGCCATAATCCACATGATTTTAAAATTCAACATCGTTTACACATAAACATTTAGTGACGGTTTCTCTGTGTATCTGACAAGTTAATCTGCTAAGAATTCACACTGACAAATGGGGTTTGATTACACTAGCCGTTGCTGATGTAATTGTGATAGGGGCGGTCCCCAGGATGGCAATGGGTTCCTGCAGGCTGTTTGGGGTGAAGTGGGGGGGGGGTGGGGAGACTAGTAAGGCCAAAGCCAAAATATGTCTCTGCTAAGAAAGAAACAGCTCTGAGGCTGGGTGGGGCCATAGCAGTATCTGAACCATACTTCCCAACAAGGCCTTCTGCAATGCCACCTACCTCTCCCTCAGAAGGTGCCCCTCTAGGAAGCTGCCTGGGAGCAGAGCCCACGCTCCTCTGTTTGGCTCAGCCAGGGCTCCTTTCTACCACTTCACTGCTCCAGGTCTGTCCCTGAAGGACAGAACATGCAAGCCAGGTGGCAGGACCCCTCTGAAGAACAGCACTTCTGGGCTCATTCTCAGCCCCTGGTGCAGTGAAATGGGTGGCGGGAGCAGCAGGAGAGAAGACCATCTCCTGACCAGCCTGGAAGCCAGGGTGAGGAAACTGAGCAGCAGGGAAGAGAGCTGGGCAACAACCACCAGAAGAAAATGACAAGATGTAGTCACCTATACACAGACAAAAACCAACCGGTAAGAATGTCCACATCTGTAGATGACACGGAGTGAGGATGTCCTAGGAAGAAATGTCAGACTCCTGGGAGCCGGGAGCAGAAAATACCTGAGCCTTGCTGACTCTGAGGGGCTGTGCAGGAAAACATTCTGGATTGAGGATGAGGTGCTGAAGCACCTGGAAGAGTCCCAGGGTGGGCCTTTGGCTCAAAAATGGGACGACTGGCCACCAAAAAGGCCTTGAAAATTGGGCTGAGGGCTCAGTCCTCAAGCTGTCAACTGCCCCCAAAGTGCCACAGCATATGACACAGAGACAGGAAGAAAAGGCCCACTACTCGCTGGGGAAGAACCTCTACTACCGGCCAGATAGAGGGTAAACATTCAGGGATGAACTGAGAGGCTGAGCATGGCCAAGGAAAGGGAGGTGGGCCCTAGGGACCAGTGGGGACTGCCCTCTCAGAGCTGCAGAGGGCTGGGTTCAGGAGACCATGGCCAGAATAAGCTGCACTGAATCATAAAGACATTCTTGCTGTCAGAAGACTCACGGAGGACCCAAGAAAGGAAACGGATGCATGCCGAGCGGGAAAGCTCACTGCCTAGAGCCTGGCTTTCAGGGCTAGGTCCACCCCTAGTTGGCCCAGGGTCCACCTGGGAGTGGGGGAGCTGTGACAGTGAGGTGGGATTTCCAGAAGGCTGGCCTCAGACTTGCATCCAACTCCCCAGCCCCTTCCTAGGGAAAGGCTGAGGATGGGAAGGTGGGGGTGGGGGTGGGGGGGATGGATGAGCCTGAGGCAGAGGCAAAGCTGTACCTTTGTTGGTGGGCATGAAGTCCTTAGCCTTGTCTTTGCAGTAGTGGAGGCAACAGGAGAGGATCAGGTCATCGTTGTTACCCTGGAGGAAAAAAGTGTGAGAAGTGCCGCTGGGCAGGAGGGGGCGCCATTCGGAGGCACAGGTATATTCTTGCGTCTGGGGTCCTGGGGAGGATCACATCCCAGAGTCCCTCCCATACATGTTCTGGTCCTGCTTGGTGGGGTGCGACTGTGACAAGAGTGATCTAGGGTACAAAGAACTGCCCCTCCTGGGCCTGGGTGGTGGCCGCCCCCGCTCAGCTGCCTGGGCAGCCTGAGGTGCCTGAGCTCCTGGAGACCCTGTTCTGAGGCTGGCTATGGGCTCTCCCTTTCTGCCGCAGGTCTTACCAGTTGGCCAGTGATGTCTTCACTGCGGAAGGCGATGGATTCGAGTTCATTGCCACGGCTGGTCAGGGCCCGTAGGCAAGAGTCCCGACTCTCAAATCGCCGCTCGAGGAACTCAATGGACTTCCGGGCCTTTTCCTGCACCACACGGGCATAGCCCCCAGCCCGGTGGTCTGTCTCCTGCCCCTTGGCCAGGCCGTCCAGTTCATTGATCACTGATGAGACACAGTCCCACAAGGTATCATCAGCCTTAGCAACCAGCAATGATGTATGCCTTTACCTTAGGCTCACTTTCCCAGCCAGCCCCTTCCCAGACCACAGACTCCATCTTGCCCCACAGGAGTCTTCCAATGACACTAGAGGAACTTAGGGGGCAAGAAGTGTCCCAGACTTTCCACAGAGCTCTTTCTCCCTCTTCCCCTGGGCCCCACCCTCCTCCTAGAAGGAACCTACAGGGATTTTCTGGAGCTGCTGTATTCAGAGGAAGAAACCTGGCCCTTCTACTATCACATTCCTCAGTTACAGGATTAAATTGAAAGGGCCTCTCAGGAGAGACAAGGGTAGCCACTAAAGGACAAGAGGCACTTCCCCTCATCAGTCTGGATCCCCAACCACAGCAGTTCACAAGGAGCAAAGTTCTATGTCCCATCCCCTGGTAGCGTGCAGGGAGGTCACCAAGTGGGAAGCAACAGTCACAGCCTTACTTGCAAGGACCCTGGTATCCTTCAAACCATGCCCTTGGCACATCTACTCCTCTGATACTGCGTGTGTGTGTGTGTGTGTGTCTGCCTATGTGTCTGGGACACGGCTTCATTTTCTGGTGAAGATTCTTTCCAAAATTCCAGCCAAAAGCCTGAGGTCAAGTGGGAAATATGCACTCCTTGGGGGCTCCGGGAGAGTTTGGGGTCTGAGGCCTCTCCTCAGTGCAGTGATTCATGGCTCGGGGAGTCGGCATGAGCATGCTGTTCCATGGTGAGCCTGGCACTCACTGTCTGGGTATTCAGAGACGCTTTCTGGAAAGGGCCCATGTGGGAACACACACACACACACACACACACACACACTCCATGCTTTCAGCAACCTGAGGCTGCTGCATGTCCACACAATGTATGGTTGAGGCTGGGAAGTAGTGGTGGATGGGTGTATGGTACAGCAAACAGAACATCAAACACGAAAAACTGGTATTCCATCCCAAAATCTCCTTTCCTGCTTCCAAACTAAACAGGCTTCAAAGGGGAAGCTTGTTTGTGCTTCTGCACCAGGCGGGGCTTCTTGATGCTAGGGTCAGGCCTAAGGAGCAGGAGCAGGTTAAAGAGCACAAGAAACAAGCAGGGAAGGCTGTCGGCTTAACCCTTTGTGCTCTGGACACAGAGCGGGAATGCACGGTGGGAGCCTCGCTGAACAGGAGTCTCCTGCAAAGACCCTGAGAGTCGAGGGCCCCGCCCCCCCAAGGTGCGAAGAGGCTGGCCTGTCTTCTAGGGACAGCTGTCATTTCCCAGCACGGGGGGTGGGGGTGGGGGGGAGGTGGGGGGGGTGGGGGGCGGTGGGATGGGGTTGGGGGGAAGGCGGGGGAGGAATCTATTTATTCTACCTGTGTCCTTTCCTGGGGGTTTTGCGCATGTATTTGCTCCCTCCCCACCAGATCTGGCTTTCCCTATTAAACCACAAGCTATCGAGGCCAAGGGCTTGCAGTTCCACCTTTCCCTGGATCCCCCAGGAATAGGGAGGCCGGACACACAGTAAGGGCACAATCAGTGCTGGGGACCAAGAACCTTGCTAGCCTGGGATGGTGTCTGAGGCCCCTTCCCAGTCTTAGGGAACTCCTTGGACGTCAGCAACCTCTCTCAGTTATACCATTTCCTGACCATTAGCAAAAGCGACCACTTACTCTCTTTCCCCTAAAAATCTCCTGGGGTAGGAAAGCACGGGGACATGCTATCCTGGTAGCTACCCTACCCAGGATGCAGTGAGGGAAGAGGGGAAGCTGGAACAACCTGACAGTCTTGCTGCTCTACTTCTGAAGAACAGAAAGCCTTTCCTTAGGTCCAGAGGCCTGGGTTTAAGAGGTTCTGGCCAGGCCACATGGGGAGGGGGAAGGAAGACAGGGAGGGTGGAGGCGGGACGAGGGCTGCTTCAGTGCCAACATTCTCAGGTGGTGCTAACGTGTTTCCCACAACCCCCCAGGGTTCTATAGCCTCTGCAGGGGCGGATGTTTCCTGCCCTTTGTTTCCACCCTCATCTGGCACTAAGACACTTGGGACTAGGAGGGGAGGCCCAATGGAACATCTTGGCATGGATGTCAGAGGTGGCTTGGCAGGCAGACTGCCAGTCTGGCAGCTTTTCCAGAGGACAAGGATCCCGAACTTGCGCCAAGTGGCTGCTGAGAAGGGGACACTGAAAAGCCAATCACCTCCTAGACCCTCTCTCCCTCCACAGGATAGCCATCAGCTATATTAGCTGTACCAATTATATTAGGAGCCCAGAGCCCAAAGCCCATCCTCAGGCTGACCCACCGCAGAGCTCCAAGAACTAAGACAGTGCCTAGACAGTCCCTTGGAGACAGCCCAGCTGGGCTCTTCTGGCCTGAGGGTGGAAGCAAGCTAGCTGGGTCCTGAGATGCTGACCCTGCACCAGCATCAGTGACCAGACAGTGGTAAGGGCCCAAGTGGCAGGAATCCATAGGCATAAGCCAAGGGCTTGCTCTGGAGGGTTTCCGTCAGCCTGGCCTTAGGGTGACACTGGCCAGAAGAATGCTACCTCGAACCAACAGAATGATCATGAAAAGCTACAAGACAATCAGACCAAAGGCATCTAACCACTTCAAAATCCTCCCAGCCTCCCTGCCAGACCACCCAGCAGCACTGCCGTTATCTGCCAGGGCTGAGTGTTTACCAATAACGGGAACCAGCTTTGCTGTTTTACTGCAAGCTTTATAAGGATAAAAACAAGGGCTGGGCTCATGCAGCCTCGGGTTGCTGGGACACAGGAGTCCATTTGCTCAAGCAGTTTAAGCCATGGATCAGCCATAATAATTCGAACTGCTCTGATTATTAAACAATTTTCCTTGCCCCACGCAGACCCTACTTGCCTGCAGATCCTGCCATACACACATAGCGGGGCTCTCTGGCTGCTTGGCCCCGGGGCCGTGGGGCGTGCGTGGGGAGGGGGCTGCAGCATGTGTGCAGGGCTGCTCTGGCCTGACTCACCGATGAGGGGTACCACCAGGATGTACCTCCTACTCTCCAGCAGCCGTGCCAGACTGGCCAGGTGGTCAATGAAGCCATTGGTGTCTGGTACAAGGAACAAGGGTCTGATCTCGAGCTCCATCTGCCTCATCTGACTCTGGTCCTCCAGGACAGCCTACAGGGACACAGAACGGTGAGTGAGCCAGAGTGAGTAGGCAAGCGGGTGGATGAGCCAGGGCCCTGACTTCACAGTGTGTCAGCATCCTGCCCCCTGAAACTCTTCCCCCTTCAGAGGGACAGCCAGCCCCTGCCAGGCCCGAGGGACCCCCCGACCCAAGGGCTGGGCAAAGTACTGCAATAAAAATCAACATGGACTAAATGGCCTGAGGAATGGGGTGTGACTAAAACCCTGCCTAGGACAGAGAGGACCCTGATGGTATTAAAATTAACAGGTTTCTGAAAGTAAGACCCTGGGACAAAAGTCAACAAGGGAGAGTCAGTTTCCTTGGATATGAAAGTGGTTTTGCACACATTATCTAGACAGCAAAGACAGGGGTACAGCTTAGTGCAAACACTTTATACATGTATCATTTATTTCAGTTTACTTGACTGTGTAGTTAGATTAAAAAAAAAAGAAAAGGTTACAAGGCTATACAAAAACAGTGATGCTGACAACGAATTATTACCACCACAGCAGCAGGAGTCCATGAGGTGTGATGGATTTGGACCCAACTCACATGCTTGCAAAGAGCAACACCAAGGCTGATGAGAACCGCCACCGCCCACCCTCCAGCAGAGTGTTTCCTAAACGTGAGTCTTTGTGTTCTACTTGTGCTCCTTTGCCACAGTTCTGTACAATCTAGACCATCAGTTACTTGATGTTTTTCATTAAATGGACTTTAAGCCAACTCACTTTTTTTGGCTTAGCCACCTCTTAAGCAACGATAACCACGGTATCAAGTTCACTCGTGCAAGCTATCCTTCCATAAAAAAAAAAAAAAGCAGCCAAAGTGTCTCCTGTGCATCCCTGAAAAAGCATGCGACACAGCCCCAGTGAGTGGTCTGCACACCACACCTTGACAAGCACGTGGCCGAGGCCCTGTCTGTCTGATGGGTGTTCACCTCCTTCAGGGCAGCTCCATGCACATCTGTGCAAGCCCGACCTTCCCAAGTCTGACAGAGCCCTGAGTGCCAGAGGCCCTCTGAGATAGGCTCTGGGCACGTCGGTCACTACAGAACACGGTCGCTGTTGTGCTGCTTCCTCTTGTGGGGACCACAGCCAAGAAGCAGAATGATCTGCTGGCATCTGCCCAGTGTGCTCCCCGTGCACAGGGCAGGAGGAGGGCACCAGCGCAAACCTGGCACCCCCCCTCATAATCTGCCACACCCCAACTTGTAAGGACAGAGACACAGGCTCAGGGCAGGGGAGAAGATGTGCGTGCCAACCGAGACGGGTCCCACAGTGCCGGGCCGGCCACTAACAGTCAGTGAGGGAGGCGCTCCGGTTTCGCTGGCAACGACAGTAAAACTGAAAGGGCATACCTCCGAATGCTGGGGGTGGCTTCTCTGTGACCTACTGGGGACCTCTTCCTATGACTAAGTCGCTGCTGCCACTGCCACCACAGCTGGTGGAAGGCACAGGCCACAGGCCCCTGGCAGGCATGAGAAATGCAGCCTAGAGGCCCATTCTGCGCAGTCTTCCTACTGCTCTCACCTCATCAGGGGAAAGTACCCCTGCTGCTGGCCATCTTCCCGGGGGACTTGGTCACAGTCCCTCCCCGTGGGGCTGCCAGCTACAGAATGACACGCATTCCACTCAACTCGGCTTGGGGCATTTTTAAAACAATTTATTTTTTCTTAAGACATAACTGACATATAACCTTGTTCAGCAGCTCGGGCATTCCGTAAGGACAGGGCCTCTGCCCTTTCTCCTCACAGGGGAGCAGCAGCCTTCCTCTTGCTCACTCCCCCCGGCCTTGCTGGTCTCTACGCAGCTTTTCCACTGCCAGCAACATTTTTCTTAGTATCATAGGCACCCAAATCTTTGTCTCTCTGGGTGAGAAGGAACACAACAGACAGGGACACAGGCTGCGAGAGGGCAGGTGCTCAGGGTCCTAAGTGAGCACTAGATCTCCGCCTCCGCCCCACTGCGACTCTTCACATCTTAGTTTTCCTGCCTCCAGAAATGATAGCCCAGCTCTGGTTTGACTCTAAAGAGGAAATGGCTGCATGAACAAGAATGAGCTCCTCGGACCTTGTACCATCCCACCTTGAGAGAGGTGGCCAAGGGAGGCTGGGGGCTGATAGCCCGCCTGTTTGTTCTGCGGGCAGGGTGGCGGGGGGAGGGGTGGGGAGAAGCACCTAGGAGCAGGGCACAGGGAAGCTCTAACCGTCTGAGTTCTCTGAGCTATGGTTCAGGGCCAGAAAGGTGAACAAAGGCCACAGCCTCTTAGGGAGGTGGCAGCCTCGTTGGTTCCCCAGGGGTGGGGTGGGGTCAAGCTGTATGAGGGTGGTTGGAGCTGTGCTGCCATTATCCGGTCCCAGGGACGCCCGCAGACAACTTCCCTTAACCTGGCTCTGCCTAGTGAGTCACCACACAACTGCTTCCTGTTCCCCACATGCCCTCATGAGTCTCAGGAGATTACATGAAGCTGTTCCCCCTTCTCCTGGGGTACCTGTGGGCCTGGGCGGGGGGGTGTCATACCTGGGTCATGAGACTGGCCCAGTCCCCTTCAAAAGAATGGCAGACCAAGGAGGGATCGGAAGTCCGCAGGCCCTCTTCTGTGGGTGTCTGTGTTTCCGGCCCTCTCTGAGTGGCGCTGTGTGTGTATGTGTGTGTGTGTGTGCGCGCACACGCGCGTATTTAGCATTTGCCCTCCCAACTTTTCCAGATTTTACCCGTCAGATTCCTGGCAGCTGTGCACGGCGCCTGTGCCGGCCGTCACGTCCCATTCCGATCTCTGGGTCGCACGGTGAGAGAAGGACACAGGATGCGCAGGGAGTGAAAAAGTGATGTCGGTGGGGAGAGTGCCAAGTCCCTACTCACAGCCATGGGACGCTTGCGGAGACGGGGGAAGCAAGCCGCTGTGGAGTTCAGAGGCCGGTAGTGAGATTTATTTTTGTTTGTATGAGTAAAAAGCTGCAGAAGCCTCTGGTGGGGGTAAGGGGGGGGCTCCATTGGAATGCTGGACAGACTGGCCCTGGCCTGGAGTCAAGTGTGCTGACCCGGAAGGAGAGTTCCACAGGAACCCTCCTTGCTGCAGCTAAGACTGGGCCACAGTGGTCCTTGGAGAATGAACTGAGAACCCAAAGAAAGCATGGATGCTTTGAATCAGATCAGTGGGAATAAGGACCAAGTTGTCATCAAGTGTGCAAGGAAAAGAGAACTCAATTCTGTTTCGGGAAGGTGCTAAGTAACCAACTTTCTCTGAAGTATGAGAGCATCCTTGAGCAAGCCGGTGAGAAACTGGGAAGAGATAATCCACAATAACATCTAATGAGGAAGCTGACAGGCTTGGGAGAAGGGCTCTTTCACAGGTTAAGTTCCTTCTAGACAGTGGAGATGATCTGAGGATGCTGACCCACTAAAAATTGAGACACCGAGAATTACAAATAAAAAGTAACACAATTAGGGTGCCTGGGTGGCTCAGATGGTTGAGCGTCTGCCTTCAGGTCAGGTCATGATCCCAGGGTCCTGGGATCGAGTCCCACATCGGGCTCCTGGCTCAGTGGGGAGCCTGCTTCTCCCTCTCCCTCTGCCTCTCCCCCTGCTCATGCTCTCTCTCTCTCTGTATCTCTGTGTCTCAAATGAATAAATAAAATCTTAAAAAAAAAAAAAAAAAGGTAACACAATTAGCTCACACAGGAGCTGTGGAACTTGAAGAACCCATATCATGAAGCAGAGCCACATCAAGAGAAGGCCTTCTTAGGTCTTCCTTCTGCTCAGGGCTCCACAGGGAGCGGGGCTGCTTCCTCCTCTCTCTTGGCTGATGGAGTCATTTATCCCTGGGCCTCTCTGGCCACAGCCATGTCTTCACCAGAAATGAGAAGTTCTGTACCACAGCAAACTTCTGTGCTCACTCTGTATGGGAAAGTATCTAGGAAAATGCCTGAGCCACATATCAGTAACTTCACAGGTGTCACTTTTCTTTCCTCCTGCCCAGCTCCATGGGTCACCTTCTATAGATGCGGGGGGCGGGGGGAGACTTCTGGGGAAACCACTTGTGGGCAAAGTGGGAGATGGGGAGGGGTGACAGAGAGGACTACTGCTTTCTGTAGGACTCATGATACTTACTGTTTTTTTTTTCTTTAATGACATAGGTTTTTGTTTTTTTAAATGAAAAATGGAAATGAAATAAAAAAAATAGGAAGAGTTGGTGAGATAACCACCAAAAGTGCAGACAGGCAGTTCCTTCTCGAGCCACAGAACGCAAAGGGAGCAGATGCTGCACGTGTTACAGAGAGCAGGCAACGCCGTCTGCCGCCCTTGGGATGGCACGGTAGACCTCTGCATTTAGTAGGGTGGGCGCTCATGGGAAACTTTCTGCTTAGGATCCCTCCTCTGGATTTTCAGTCAGTAACACAGACCTTAATGTATGTATACTGGCTTTCTTTTTAAAAGTTACAATTAGGATGACTTGCTTGCTACTTATCATTTTATGAGGACTGATTTTATTTTTAAACTAGGCTGTAAGGAGAATGGCCTTCTTTCCTTGTAGTTTCTTTGATAATACCTAGCATAGGGTTTGATATATTGTAGGAGCTCAATGAACTCAAATCACAGAATCTCAGAGTTGGAGGACATTTTCAAGACAATCTGATTTGGACGCCTGGGTGGCTCAGTTGGTTAAGCGTCTGCCTTCAGCTCAGGTCATGATCCCAGGGTCCTGGGATGGAGTCCCACATCGGGGCTCCTTGCTCAGCAGGGAGCCTGCTTCTCTCTCTCCTTCTGCCTTCCGCTCCCCCTGCTTGTGCTCTCTCTCTGACAAATAAAATCTTAAAAAAAAAAAAAAAAAAAGAGGGCGCCTGGGTGGCTCAGTTGGTTAAGCGACTGCCTTCGGCTCAGGTCATGATCCTGGAGTCCCAGGATCAAGTCCCGCATCAGGCTCCCTGCTCAGCAGGGAGTCTGCTTCTCCCTCTGACCTCCCCCCTCTCATGCTCTATCTCATTCCCTCTCTCAAATAAATAAATAAAATCTTAAAAAAAAAAAAAAGATAATCTGATTGAATTTTATCTGCTCACTCTTATTGTGAGAATGCCCAAGAAGTGTACCCTTTCCTGATGGAGAGGGAGTGGCAGGGCTAGCATGACACCTCCGAGCTTGCTCTAAGCAGTGCTAGCCTTAGGGTGGTCCAGCCAACAGCCTAACCATTTTTTTTTTTTTTTTTTTAAGATTTTATTTATTTGAGAGAGAGAGAATGAGAGAGAGCAAGCACATGAGAGGGGGGAGGGTCAGAGGGAGAAGCAGACTCCCTGCCGAGCAGGGAGCCCGATGCGGGACTTGATCCCGGGACTCCAGGATCATGACCTGAGCCGAAGGCAGTCGCTTAACCAACTGAGCCACCCAGGCGCCCAGCCTAACCATTCTGTAGGAGGACAGGACCTTGTGGATGCTGCTGGAGCAAACTGGAGGCCCAGCACCATAGTTTGCAGAGAAGCTGGAATGGGCTCTGGAACCGCAAGAGCAGGGCAGGCGGCTGCCCAGCTCTGCAGGCTGATGTGCTTTCCTGCCCCGGCGTGAACGTGCCCCTGGCCTGGTAGTGCACCGGCTCCCACCCTGCCTCCGACAGCTAGGAGCCAGGGCTGAGTGTCTGCCTTCCGCTAGCTTCCATACAGGTGTGGGGGGCTCTGTGTGTGCCCCATTGTTCCACAGCACCACCCTCCCCCAGCTGGGTGGCAGTGTGAATGGGTTGCAGCTATATTTAGAGTGAAACTCCTGGGGCCACCACAAAGGAGTGACTGCATCTTCAGGAGGGTGGGTGGGCGGGAAGGGGACAGGGGAGCCAAGCTATTTTCAGAACACATGTCACTGCTGGCTACAGAGCAAGACTGTGGCCATAATGCCGAGGGAAACAATAGCTGTGGCCAGAGGAAGAGCCTGTTATGTTTCAGGTGGGATGTTTGCAACTGCTCAGGAAACCCGACCCCGCCCGACAGCAGCACAAATCACAGCAAAGCCTCGTGGAGGCAGAGGGAGGTGGGGGATTCACAGGGCCAAGATGAGGTGCCAAGAAGCCACGCCTCATGCCTAGAGGCGGATTTTCAGTGACTGCTTTGCCCGAGGGGCCTGATTAGGACTGAGACACCTCTGACCAATTTCCCAGACAAACCAGGTACCCTGCGCTCTGGTCTCTGGACAGCCCCCAAGAATGGCAATGGGAATGGAAAGGACTCGGTCAGAAAGCATCGAGACGGGCAGAACCGACCTAATACCAAGAGGTGTCTCAGATAACAGGCAAAGCCTGGGCTGAGCCACAGAGTGTGGCCTCAAAGCCCCAGGTGGGCGGACTTGGCCCCCCAGTACTCAGGGACTTGCCTGGGTGCCGTGGCTCCAGCTGCACAGGCCTGAGAGCTGCCCACACCCCTATTCTGACCTCCATTCGGCCCCACTCACCAGCCCCTGTGCACCGCCGGAAGCAGGGAGGGACAGGCTGCGGACGGAGGCCAGGTCTCGCCTCCCCCAACCCACAGATGAGCTTGGGCCCAGGGGCCTAGGTGGGAGAAGGGAAGTGGGGGTGTGGCCACAGCCCCAGATCTCAGTTGGACTTTATAGTCATCGTGGGGGCCAGGAGGATTTTTTTCAACTCCATCTTCATATCCCCTTCCCCAAACATGTGTGGTTCCTGTTTTGCTGCATCTGTAAAAGGCGCCGGGAGCTGGGGACTTGCCTTACACCTCTCGGTTAACACCCCTGGAGACTGATGGAGTTCAGAGCAGTGTAATTTACAGCCCATCTCTCCAATCTTAATTCACCCGATGCTCCTCTCTTCCTTATTGTATTAGTGTGACCCAGGTACCTGCCAACAATAATGGCCTCTCCAGCTAGGAGCCTCTCCCCCACTCCCAGGACAATTTATACCTTTTCCTTGGGATTTTCCCCCCTTAAATTAAACAAAAAGAGGAAAAATAAGAAAAGGTTAACATGGGTTTGGAGTGCTGCAGCCCCGTGGTTCTGGGCAGGGAGCCAATGGCCCGAGGGCACACACATGTGTGTGCTCTCCCAGAAGGGCCTTCACCGGCCCTGTTTTACAGCCACCTCGGCACAGACTCCAGGGTTCACGCATATGGCCAGACAGATGTGTCTGGCTTACGTTCAAGGCTGGAAAATGAAGAATTATGGAAGTGAAGGGCCCCGGGCATTAAAAGGGGGGGGGAAGGAAGGGGGGAATTTTTCCTCTGCTGAGAAATCCTCCTGTGGCTGTGAGGCTGGAGGAAGAAGGCTGACAGGAGGCAGGGCCGCCAGCAGTGGTACATGTGGGGCCTGTTCTTAAAGGGGCCACAGCAACCTCAAGCCCCAGCTGGCCTGAGCAGCCAGCTCTGAAGGAGGTGACAGGGACAACAAGCTTCCCGAGTAGGGGCGGCCACCGGCACCGGACATCAAGTCTCATACAAGACCTCCTGGTTGCAAGGTACTGCTTGCTGCTGGAGAGGCCAAGCTGAGCACGGTGCTCTCGACAAGGCCATGCCCCCATGGCACTCGCTCTCACGGCATCCTGTACTCCCCTGTGGCAACCATGCACGCTCGCACCTCAAATCGCTGGCTCATCCATTCACTGTACACTCTGTACATCCTGGCCTGGGACTTCTTTGGTTCACTCCTGTGGCCCCTGACCACCAGCCTCGCAGATGCTCATCACCACTTATTAAACTGAACTGAAGACACAGTACTTGCTTCTAAGGAGTTCACAGTACCGGCGGGGGTGGGGGGCGGAGGCGGGGAACAAGTCCAGAAATAACTGTAATATGAGACAAGATATAAGTATCACAAATGAAGTATAAATCAGTGCCACGGGAACACTGAGCAAAGAGAGATGAATTCCTCCTGAGGGTATCAGGGAAGGCTTCACTGGGGAGAGAAGTTTCGTCTGAGGATTTGAAGGAAGAATAGAGTTTCAACAGGTAACAGGAAACGTGGAACAGAAAAAGGGTATCCTGGTCTGAGGGAACAGCATGAGAGTGGGGAAGGGTAGAGCACGTCAGAGGGCAGTGAGAGGAGAGGACAGTTAGAGCTGCCGTCCAGGTAGAAGGGCCTTACTGTCTGGACAAGCACTGTACACACACTTCCTGAGGTAGGTGCTGTCACCACTTTCATTTTATAGATGAGGAAACAGTTTTAGAGGAATTAAATAATTTGCCCAATGTCATATAGCTAGTAAGGTTCACTGGGGATAGGAGAAGAGGCTGGAAAAAGACTGGGAACAGATGGGAAAACCTCCAATGCCATGGTAAGGAATTAGACTTTATCAGCGAAGCAAAGACCCTGACGATTTCCGAGCAGGGGAGTGGCTCTTCTGGGAAGAGAGTGATAAAAGCACTCGAGGTGCACCGGAGGGGCTGAGGTGGACAGGGTCCCGGTGTCACGCGACTCCAGGAGCTGCCATTCACAGACTGCCAAGTGAACAGCACCCCTGGCGTTGTGCAGTGCACGGGCCGCGCCCGCTACAATCCAAGGCGGTACGTGGACCAGCACGGCAGTGGTGGCAACGGGAACAAGTGAGAAGGAAACAAATGAGTGAACAGAGAGGGTCTGATAAGAAATCAGACACATGGGGTTAAAAGCCAGCGAGGAATTTTAAAAGGATTCTCTAGTTGCTACTGTCTATTCAGTCACTGAACAAATATTTGCTGAGTGCCAACTCTGCACGCTGAGACTAACAGAAAGTAACAGAAAGGAAGGAGGGGACCAAGAAGAGAATGGTGGTGAGGAAACCTAGGAGGGTGGCGTGGCCAACAGAGAGGGAGAAGACAAAGGCTCACTTGAGCTTCACTGCGGGTGGAGGGCCTGACGCTATAGAGACGCTAACTACGACAGGGATCGAGACCTGATAAAGACAGGTACTTGGGCACTTCTTTTTTTTTTTAAAGATTTTATTTACTTATTTGAGAGAGAGCATAAGCGGGGGGAGGGGGGGCAGCAGGCAGAAGGAGAGAGAGAGGGAGAAGCAGATTCCCTGCCGAGCAGGGATCCTGATGTGGGGCTCGATCCCAGGACCCTGGGATCATGACCTGAGCTGAAGGCAGACGCCTAATGACTGAACCACCCAGGCGCCCCCACTTGGGGACTTCTGAAAGAACAGTTTCCATAACTGCTGGGTTGAGGGTCAAGACATGGAGGTGGTGAGTATAGATAGTACTTTGGGAAGACTGACGATGAGGAAGAAAAGAACCACAGGACAGGAAGAAAGACAGCTTGAGGATGCAGTTGCTTTGCAGGCCACAACAGAGGGTTCCGTACAGACCCCAACGGGCTGAGGAGGCAGCTACACCATGATGATGACCCGGCAGAGGGATCGCACACTTGATTCCAACTGGCAAGCGGACACGAATGTCTCAAGAACAACAGATCCCAACTGGTATTCATTCCCCTTCCCGGGGGAGCGTTCTGATTGGTGTTCAGACAAATGATCAGACCACAGGGACCATTTAAGGAGCTCACACTGTGTGCCATTCATTGTGCTGAGTGCTGACACACACTGGCTCCCGCAGGCCGTACAGCAATTCCAGGAGGTAGGCGCTATTACCACTTCCATTTTACAGATGGGGAAACAGGCTCTGAGGAGTTAAACAATGTGCCCAAAGTCACAAAGCCAGTAAGTGGTGGAGCCCAGAACAGGATCAGGTCGGTCTGACCACAATGCACTAAGGCCTGCACCAAAGGCAGGGGCGGCTGAAGAGAGGACTGAAAACAAGGCATTCCTAAAGAGTCCTGATGCTTCCCCAAGCTTACAGTCCTTGAAGGGAGGAGCATGACTGGCTCTTCCCTGTCTGCCCCGAGCTCTAGATAAGAGGAAGTGAGTTTCTAGTGCAAAAGGACAGACTTGGGAGAGCCATTAAAAAAAAAACTTGCTGCAAGGGCAGGTATGGGTCCACAGAGAGCTGATGGTGGAGGAACCTTGTATGGAGATGAAGCAGTTTCTCTCTGGGAGGGTCCACAGTGTCCTGTCCAGAGGGGCTCAGCCATTACACTGGAAATCCAGATAAGCAGACTGTGGCTATGACATTCTCTTCCCTGGTAAGAGGTGTCCTCTACAGAGCATCTATGACCTCTCCAGGAGTATCTGGATAAGGTTTAGGGGAACTTTGAAACCCCTGAAATTGTGAGGAAGATTGTGTACGTGTGGGTGTATATTCACAGATTATCACTGGGGAAGAAGCTTTCATCAGATTCTCTGAGAAGAACCTGCTTCTGCCTTGGAGTCCATGAGGAGGGAGACTCCCGGCACCACAAGTGCTACCAGGATTTGGTGATAGAGGAAGAAAATAGGTAGAACCAGTAAAGGACACTGAAAGACAGTGTCTTCCTGAGAGGGTCCTGTTCATCCCTACTCACGACTCACACTCCCGTCGTGCACTATACAGCCACGACCCTGATAGGAACCACCCTCCCCAGGCAGGCCCCACCTGGATCTTTTCTTGGCGACGCTGCTGCTCGGCTATCTTCCTGGCCAGAGCCAGCTTCTTGGCACGAAGTTCCCTGATGTCATCCTCACCCCCGCTGCCTTCGGCCTCTGAATCTTCCTCAAAGTCTTCAATCACCACGTCCTCCTCCTTTGGGTGGTGGAGCGGGCCAGGGGAGAGAGGAGACTGTGAGCCCATGGCACTTACCAGACCCACCCTCCTGTACTTCCAGCACTCCCAGTTCCATGCTTTTTTGGATCTTCCTTTCAAAGGGCCCCAAGGTGTATACTTCCCTCAATTCAGGCAGAGAGGGAATAGAGAGAAGCTGCCACCTCTCCTTTCCCCACCAACTACTCCCTTTTGCACTCCAGGCTCTTTCCTCTTGGAGAGTCACAGGTCCACACCAGAAGTCACTCACACACACATATACTTCCATACTTATACACACACTCACCAAATCAAGCTCTGAACCTATTTTCATTTTGTATCACCAAGGGGGAAAACAACAGAGAATGTTAAACCACTCAATTTAAATCTAATTCCTTCTAATGATCTGATAGAAATCAATTCTGGCCAAGAGCTGGGAGTTAGGCGTAGAAGCTCCCCTGCCCCCAGATGGCTGCAGGGAGCAGATGCTGTGGCTCAGCAGACCTTGCCCTGATTTCTTTTTAAGACCACAGCCTGGCGGTGTGGGGGCTACTGAGCCCCATTACAGGAATTCACATGACATGACCTTGCTCAGCTGCCCTCTCGGGGTCTGGGCAGACTAGGAGACGGCTGGCTGGCTAGCTTCAGGAGCCTCCTGCCAGGCTGGCGGAGCTTTCCCCAGGGATGGCCCTCCCTGCTTGCAGCTTCACTCTCAGAAGCCCCCACTCCCCGGGTGGTCCCAGGCTCCATTCCTCACTCTCTCACTCCTGACCTTGGTCATCAGAGAACATGCAGCTGCCCAAGAGCATGTCCTCTGAGGGACAGGATTAGCATGGGTAACAGAGTGATTAGTAGGAGAAGATTCTTGTGCTTCTACCTGGTTGACGATAATGACACTGATTATGACAATAACAGCTACCATTTACTGAATGCTCACTACTGGCCAGATAATTGGGTTAAGTGTTTTTCACATATCAACTCATTTGATACTCACGATGGTCTTTGAAACAGATGCTACTGTCATCCCTAATTTATAAATGAACACGCTGAGGTTTAGAGAGTTAAACAATTTGCTCAGGGATAACAGTTAAAAAGTGGCAGAGCAGTGAGCCTGATTCCAAAACACGTGCTCTTCGCAATAAGAGTGGGCAAGAAGCACAGGGCTGGGGTCTGGACTCTAGACAGCAAGGCCAGACCAGCCCCGAGTGGCTCAGCTTTGCCAGGCTTCCAATAGGCCCAGCTGGGATGTGTTGGGCGCAGTCTGCTCTCTCCTCTAACTGTCCATCTCAAGATGATATTCTGATGGATTCCCTTGGCTGGAAGTGGTTGGTAAAGTGTGTGGGTGGGTAGCTGATGCTCTGTCTTGGGAGCAGAATCTAGGGGGGTAGAAAGACAGGTGTTTTGGCAGCATCCCTAGGAATAGGACTCTCTTCTGCTCATGAAGAATGATATCTGAAGAAACAGAATCACCGCCCCCTTCTTCCTCCCCTACCTAGCTTCAGTGACTCAGTCTTGCAGTTTCGGGAGAGACGGGGGTCTCAGGATGTGGCTCACTATCCCAGAAGTCTCAGGAGTCTGGGTCGCTTGCTGTCTACACTGACTGGGCATGTCACAACCCACAGGCTATGGTGTCACAGGATTCATTTCCAGGGGGCCCAGCACATGAGAAGGAGGAAGACTCTCTTTACACATTTACTTCCTTGTTCGTGGGGTTAACCTGAACTGGAGAGAGCGGGACAGGGTGGTGACCAGCCCATGGGGGAACACCGCCTCTGCCTGCTCTGACCAGGGATACACAGGGTTATCATGGGGCTTGGGGTGAGCTTGACTGAGGTCAAAAGGGGGTCAGTGAGGCTTGTCTGAGGTTCACTCAGCTCTCACAGCAAACGAGGAAGTGCAGGGTTATGAAATTACACAGACCAGGGTAAGCAGGGTTTCCCAGGGGCCACTAACATAAAGGAACCCAGGAGGCTCGTGGGAAAAGGAAGAAGTGGGCAGCACGGCGTGGGTCACAACCTTTGTCTGGTCAATAAGCCTTAGGAGAAAAGAGAGCGTGGCATGGCCAAACTCTGGGCCCAAAGAGCTGGTCTGCTCCTCATGAGTGGCGGAGACCTTCCTTGGCTTTTACATTGTTGTGTCCTTGTCTGTGGGCCTCACTTGCCTAACTGGAGTCGGTACTGCAGGCTCTACTGGCCAGAGGACACCTCTCTTAGCGATCCTGGAGAGCTGGCCTTGCTTCCTTTCCGCTGTATGCCTCAGCCTTGAAGTGTGGGTGAGAGAGCTGGCTGAGGTGCTGCCCCACCCATGCTTCCCTGCACAGTGCCCAGGGCTTGGGGGGCACTGCTTTGTCCTGCACAAAGCCTGGACACCCCGATGGCTTTAGCAAGCCCGCTGCCTCCTCCCGTAATGACAGCTCATTCTTTCCCATTATTCCCTGCCCAGGTTTCATCTGGAGTCTGGAATCATGGGCTCAGCTTTATCCCTGGAACCACCTCTGTCCTGGAAGCGGAGCCCTGTGTCATCAGGGGTGGGGTGGGGTTCTCCAGCTATTCTGATGAAGCCAGTCCAAGGCTCTGCTGCTCTGAAGACTCTGAACCAAAGGTGGCCACTCTATCACTGCCTCCGATCACAAACGACAGCTTCCAGCTGACATCTGGCTTCCCTGGCTTGTTGCTGATTTCATCCCTGCACCCCACCCTGCTCCACCAGGCGCTTGAGACTGCTGTGGGCCAAATGACTGTGCTGGCCGGCTGCTGACCTGGCCTCTGGCTAGAATCACTTCCGTCCCTTCTTGAAGTCCGACGTCCCTTCCCACCTAAGTCTCCTCTGCCTTTAACACTGTGGGGTAAAAAAGGAGAGCCCACCTCCAGGCCAGAGCGAGCTGTGCGTGCACACCTGGAGTCACTCAGACACACAGCAGCGCAGGGGCGGTGCTGTTAAACGCGTACATGGGCCGACACTGTCCCACACTCCCGTTTACTCAGAACCCACAGCCAGCGGGGAAGCCGGCGGCACAGTTCAACTTAAACTGACACACAAACCCAGCACATACAGACCCACGACAGCAATCCCCCTCAAAAGGACACATACATGCTCAGGAGGGCAACTGTCGGCGGGGTTTAGCCAGGGTGGGCACACAGGCGCGTGCGCACACACACATATACGCATGGTCTGGAGTGAAGCAAGGGCTACAGGAACAACCAAGGGCAAACAAACAAGAGGAGAATTCCTTAATCACATCAGGATGTGCAGGAGGGAGGGAGGGAGGGAGAATAGGCCGGGGGAGGGGGTGATTTTCCACATGGGGCCAGCAATGTCAGCTCTTCCTGTACGTGTGCTGGAGGCTGGAGTTCAGGCCTGTGCGGCGCTGAGCTCCACACATCCATAAACTTGATCCTCAGCCTGAACCCTAACACCCCCCCCCACTCCCTTTCCTAAGCCTCCCGAGCTGCACATTATTAAACTCTTTCTTTCCCTCCCTTCTCCAATGCAACGTTAAAAAGAAGCATCTGGAACTCGTAGCAGAGTGAGATGGAGACACTGGGGTGGGACTGGCAGGAAGGGGCACCAGCAGAGTGCACTCCTGAGAAGTTGGCTGCTCACGTCCACATCCATACTGCTCTGAGTGGTTATAAATAACCGGGGAGAAGAGGCAGCCACGGGCAGAGCAGGGGTGGGGTGGGGTGGGGGTAGGGAGCCTTCCCCTCTGCCACAGCGGGCTCTCCCTGCACAGTACCTCATCTTCCAGTTGTTTTCCCTCTTGGCTTCCCATTTCCTTTCCCATGGTGTCTGGGACGGGTGCCACTGACACATATTTTCCACCCTTGAATGCCAGCAGAGGCTCTTCTTGTCCACAAAGGGCTTCCAGAAAATACTTCAGCACTGTGACCCTTTTGCAGTCGGCTGCAATAACCTACAGGGCGAGAGGGAGAGACGAGAAACAGCATTTTCTGCAAGGGAAGATGAAGATGACAGGCATTGTTTGCTGGCAGAGGGGCACATGAGAAGCGTGTCAAAGTTACCGGATAAGGCAGTAGCGTGGACAAGTGGGACTTCGAGGGTGTAGGGGATTGTGAAGGAGGGGCAGGGGCGGGGGTTTGAGGGCCAAGCTCCTCTAGAGGAAGAAAGTCACTGTCTCTATTTAGGTCATCCCTGGGGGAGCAGACAATCCCATGACCAACGACAGGTGCCCTCTGGGCCTTTTGCCTTTCTTCTGCTGAGGGCCTGATATAAAAAAAGAGTAAATTACATTCGTCTAAGTTTAGTATTTAATTGATAGAAGGAAGGGTGGAGCGTAGAACACTGGCTTTCCCAGAACACAGCTTCCTGATACCCTCACTGCCACTCTCCATTCCCCTCCCAGCTCCCCTCTCCAGGCTCCCAAGAGGAGCACTTACAGCCTGAGTGTAAAATGAATGATGAGGGCTTTCTTGGCTGTTTCATTTCAGCTAGATCACTTTGGGCTTCCCCTGACAGGTTCCTGCCCCACCCAAGAGCTTCTCATGCTGAAGAGACTGGGGTCAGGCAGGAAACTATTGTCAGGAGAAGGGAGGCAGGCAAAGCAGGTAGGGGGTGTTTCACCAAAACTCTGCTCCTCCAGGGCTTCATGCCACCCTGCTCCCATGTGGCCACATCAGCACGTAAGCCAGCGCTGTCAGAGAAGCTGGGGCTGATTTAGCTGAAATGAAATTCAATATCTTGAGCAATCGTCAAATCTAAGTGTCTCAGATGAAGTTTCCATAGTCACTCTGTCTGGGGTCCTTCTCCTGCTAGACCACACAGGTGTGTCCTCACTTGCAAATCCATCTGTGCTGCTCGCACCCTCTCATGACCTGCTGTTCATCTCTGGCCCCTGGGGCCCTTTCCTCCAAAGGAGAGGAGGAGCCCTGCTTGATCTGGAGCTTGGAGACTGGTGAAGACCATCACCCCTTCATCAGCACTGACTCTAGCCCCTGCAGAGTGCTCCCCATTCCAGAATGTGAAAGCGACCTCGATGTCCATATCACATTGTAAAGTACTAACTTGGAGACTGGCTTTGATTGTTTGCTCATTGTTTCACAGGTGCATATGTCCCTCACCTGGACAATAATCCCACTGGTAGCAAAGGATACATCTTGTACTTGCTTTCCTGTCAAGGGGTGCTAAAGACAAGTGGGGCACGCAGGAGGCTCACAGGGAGGACGGACAGGCATGGGGAGGCTCGGCTGGGTACCACAGGGGCATGAGGCAGGCACGGTCCAAGTCTTCTAGGACACTGGGGAAATGAACACTACTGTGCCAGCTGGCTAGCCAGGGCAAATGCAACACACACCAGTCAACTGGGACTCCAACTCCGTGACTCTGTCCTCTGCTGTCTCTCTGCGCCAAACCCGCTCTTCTCTCTGCCTGGGAGTGGCCCCTGCTCACCCTCACCAATGGCCCTGGGAGCATTATAGGCCTGAATCTCAGGCTCAGGACCTTGACCACCTCCACCTGACCTAACAGGTGCTCAGCTACCCAGAGAAGGCTTAGGAAGGGACAGCCATCTTGAGTTTGGGGTGTCCAGTCTTGGGCTTGGGCCAGGGCAGGTAACCACAGGTTCCATTGCATGTGTTCAAACATGTCATGAGGAAGGCTAGAAATACAGAAGCAGGGGCTAAAACGCATTAAAGAACAGAGCTGCAATGAGTAACGGCCCAGCAAGCAGCACGCACAGTGGCCTCCTGCATCCCCAGCCTCTCACTTGCAGAGGAAACTTCTGCATTTCCACAAGACTGCCAGTTTCCTCTCTGTGGTCTAATTTTAACCACCTTGTCGTTACAGTGTGTGTCAGCCACCTGACCCCACTATGACCTCTGACCTTATGCCCTAACTACTGCTTGCACGATGGAGAATTATGTAATGGGTCCAGGACTTTCCTTTTCAGTGTGAGGCTGTTACCACTGAATGGAGAGGAGGTGGGGGTAGAGGGGTGAGAGGAAGACAGAGAAAAAGCTTGCCGTGGTCCTTGGCATCACCTGGATGGTGAGAAGAATGCAGGAACTCCTGCCAAGTGTGCAGCAGAAATTTGCCCAGAAGAGGAGAGTGTGTCCATGGCTGTGTGTGCCTACTGACGGGCAGTGAGGAGAGTTCCTGCTGTTCTAGCATGCACTGGGTGGCATGCTCAGAGGCTCAGGAAAAGAATGTGATTCCTGGCCAAGAGGGAGAAAGGGCACATGCGTGGACATGGGACTCTTGGAGATGGGGATTTCCAGGGCACAGCAGGACCCAGGGACGCAGACATCCTGAGCCTGCCTGCAGCACATCCTTCGGGGATCAGTGGGGATTGTCATTCACATAGACACAAAAGCAAAATGGAGTGCCCCCCACCTTCGACTGTCACCCAAATGTTTAGAAGGAACATGGTTTCCTTGGGGATCTTGTCTGCTATGGCCATTAGTTTCTTCCCAGGACAAGGGCACTCCTGGCTGATTCTCAAAGGGTTTTGATCCTGTGGGGTCTCTGAGTTACCACTAAGAAGTGTGGAGAGAATTCCATGCGTTTGCAGAGAGAAAAGCCACTTAGCCTTTTGGAATTGTGAACTCTTTCCCCTGCAATCCAACTAGTAGGGAGGACAGCCAAGGTTGTGTGGGCTCCTTAGGTTTCCAAAGGGCACTGTGAGTGAGAATGGGCCTCTAGTTATTTAGTGGATGGGGGAACTGAGGCACAAAAGTCTAGGGCTTGCCCAGGGGCTTAGCCTCTGTCTCTAGCCCGCTGGCCTATCTGTTAAAGCATTCTGCTTTAAGGCAGGAGGAATGAGCCCAGCAGGGTGAGGACTACAGTTCTCTTGGTCCCGGAGTCTACATGAGGCTCATGGCAATATTCTCCCAGATAAAGCCTCCAGCACTTCAGTCAGGGAAAAAAGTGTAAATATGGTTAATAAGAGACATCATGATGGAAAAAACCCTTCAACCACCCACAAAGAGCCAACTCCAAGATGATCTTTGGCTGGCCAAGGAGGACTTCCTGGTAGGACAGGGGTTAAAGCTGGGCTCCCTGCTTGGAGAGGGGGGAGTCCAGCTAAAGTCTATGACATAATCTCCACAATAGCCCTGTTCATGAGTACATTTTTCCATTCTATATCAATGAAAAACACAGAATGTAAGTGATCTGTACATTGCAGCTCTGGGCAAACTCTAGATTCTCTAGAGGAGAAAGAGCTGGGCAGGAGGGCTCCTTCTGGGCTATTAACAGGCTGGGCTGGCCTAGAGCTAGAGGCAGGTATAAGGGCTGCTGGCCAGGGAATACCCCAGGGAACCTGGGATCCAGCACCTTCTCAGTAGTAGTCCTGACTTTTCTGGAAGCAGACTCACTGTGTAGGAGATTACCAGGAACTCCAAAGTTGATGGACAAAATGTCTCACACAAATTACTCTAATCAACTTCGAGAAGAAAACTGGGGAGCTTTAGGTCAGGGAAGAACTAAAAGAAAGGCACTCGGAGAAAGCCCCTTTCCCTTCCCCTGAAGCCCATCTGAGGCAATGAGCCCCACCATTGGGAACTGAAACCTCTAGCTTCAGGGCTCCAGTTATCACTGGATCAGGTCCACACGCAAAGAACCAAGCAGAAAGGAAAACTGAAAGTGAGATGTGGCAAGGCGATACAAGAGCCTGGCCTGTCCGAGGCTCAGTTCCTTAGAGATACAGTGTGAGCGTGCACAGGGTGAGTGGAGGTTGGAGCGACATGGAAGGTTAGGTCTTGTAGAAAGCAGAAAGAAACCTCTAGGTTAATAGAGAAGAGAAAAGGCAGACTGAGCTACCAGTGTGGGGTACCTTGGGGGGTGGGGTGGGGTGGTAGATAAGCAAGGAATGGAGTTCTCTGGAAACTCTCTATAGCCACTTGGGAGGGGACAAGCCCAGTCTGGGCAGACATGCCCTGGAAGGAACAGAAAAAGAGATCTAAGCTGAGTTAAGGAAGATGGGGGAGGGCGAGAGAGAGTAAAGGAACTGAGCACCAGGTACCACAGACTGCTGTACTCTGAGTTGCAAGACTTAACACCTTACAGCTGCCATGGGGAGGGGAGGACACTCCTCCTTTCCCCGTGCCCATGTAGCCAAGGAATAGGAGGAGGCGTCACAGAGCTGAACCAGGTCTCTGGATGCAAGTCTAGGGAATAAGGGGCTCATGCCATCTTGCCTGGGTTCCTGTTATCTCCAAACAGGCCTCTTGGAAGGCACGAGAGCACAACAGTGGCTGCTTAGATTCTGCAAAATTTCTTTTTCTGAACTTTTGATTTGGGGGAATCAGAATTTAAACCCCTACTATCAGCCAGTTCCATTTTCTCTGGTCTTAAAGAAGTCCCACTTGCTACTGCTCCTCTGCTTAAAGAGAAAAATCGCATGGGTTTTCCTCTACAAACTTTACAGGTTGTTTTTTTCGTTTCTCTAAACGGAGCCAATTATTCTCACATTTGTTGAAACCTTCAATCAAACTTTATAGCTTGTTAATTTTACGGAATGTCCTTAGAGCAAGTAAGATGCAGACAGGAAAGTGAAGTCTTGCTAAGATTATTAAGAAAGCTTAAAATAGCCTACAAATCCACCACCAAGGCTGGTGAATAGAGGCTGCTTGGCTGGCTTCTGAGGTCAATTAGCAATGGGTTAATTATCATCTTTAATCAGCCAAGCCTACAGGATTGGCTACAAGAAGCTAACGTCAGACCAAAGTGTTTTCACAAACTGGGAACCTCTAGTTATTCACAACTCACCCTCACAGGAGCCTGCAGGGTGAGAAGGACAATTCCGTAGTGGCCAAGGGTGGGTCAGCCTAAGAGGTCTGCCAATGAAAGTTCAGACACAGGGAATCCTCTGGAGCTGGGAGGACAGAGGAAGTGGTTTATTCACATTCCTAGAGGGAGGGGCTTCCAGGCAGGGAGCAGACTCCAGAGGCAGGAGGC